CGGGCCCCATGGCTCCAGCCTGGCCAGGTCCCCTCCCCCCCAGCAGACCCACACTCCCCCCCAGCTCGGTGCCATCTGCAAACTGGCTGGAGGTGCCCTCGATCCCCTCGCCCAGGTCATTGATAAAGATATTAAACAAGACCGGCCCATCCTGAATAACAAGCGAAAAACGTTGTAGGGTGAATTCATTCAGGCTTGCAAAGCCTCCTGCAGAAGGGAAACGCCAGAGGAAAAACTGTTCTCCTATTCTCTTCCCATACACCATCCCTGCTCCGTGCCTGTCCCCATGGCTGCTGCTGTCGTTTCAGGTGGATAAAGTTTGAAGAAAAGGTGGAGGAAGGCGGGGAGAGGTGGAGCAAGCCCCACGTGTCCACGTTGTCTTTGCACAGCCTGTTTGAGCTACGGACATGTCTACAGACGGGAACGGTGCTCCTGGACTTAGATGGCTACTCTTTGCCCCAAATTATAGGTAGGAGCTTGTGGGTTCCAGTGGTTTCGGATGGATTTTTTCCCCATGTTTTGAAGTTCTGGGAGCAGATTGAAATGCATTTGCTTGCTGCGTGCAAATATAAACAGTCTTGCATGGGAATAAGCAAAAAGAGGAGTTGAAAGCCATCAACTTGGTTCAATAAGTGTTGTCTTGAGCTTTCTGGGAGGGTTTGCAGTGGGGTAACCCATGCACCTCCCTCGTTCGGTACTTGCAGACGATGTCATTGAGAAGCAGATCGAGGATGGGCTGCTCAAGCCGGAGCTGCGGGAGAAGATAAGCTACGTGCTCCTCAGGAAGCACCGTCACCAAACTAAGAAGCCAATCCACCGGTCCTTGGCTGACATTGGAAAGTCCGTCTCCTCCAACACAAGTGAGTCCTTGGGATCCAGCCTGCATCCGGTTGCATCCTTGAGTCTTCGGTGAGCAAGCCTGGGGGGAGGAAGATCTCAGAAGGAAAGGGGGAAACCCAACCATTTGGGGGCACCCAAGTATTTACAGCCTTAAGAAAGACCCCAAAAGCTCTGCTACTGGTGGCTTTAAGGGTGGGGTGTCATCTGTAGCCAGAAGCCAAGGAGATGTCTGCTGGGATGGACAACGGCGTTGGCAGTCGCTTGGCCAAGGGGCTTTCTGGCAGAGCAGCCTACAGACAAATCCAGTCTGCTCCGCAGTTGAACCTGCCTATTTTTGAGCCATTATAAAAGGGGATTTGTTTGTTTTCACGCTAGATTATTTACTTAGGTTTAAACAGAGGTCATTTGGTGGAGCCCGGGATTTGCCAGGCTTCGGCTGCTCCCCGGGTAGACAGAAACAGCAGCGCCCAAGCTCAAAGTGCACACGGAAGAGGCTGCCAATAAGCAATATTCCCAGCCCCTGGGCATCCCCAGGTCTCCAAGCGGCCATCACCCATGTTGGAGGATTAGATATTTGAGCTAACGTTTGCCCAGAAGCCTTGAAAACGGAGCACAACTTGGAAATGGTGTGGTTAGTCCCTGTTGATAGGAAAAGTAGGGGCATCTTTTGTGTTTCTAGGCCCTTGCTGAGACGATGGCATCGCTTTGAGTTTGCAAATAGGGACACCAAGGAAAAGATGGTCCCTGGTGGGAGCAGAGGGGTCCCTCGCATTGCTTGTGCCAATGGCGACTTTGTGATATTGGAATAAACGCCACTGGCACACTGAAAATAGGGTCATGCCCAGTGGGAATGCCATCGTTTTAGTGGGGTTAAGAAAAAAAAAAAGAAGATGGATGCTGTGGTTGCAGTGGGTGTTTGACAGATGCAGAGCAGCTCAACAAAACTGGTCCAGATGTTTTTTTCCCAAGGAAAACACAGTTTGGGGAATTCAGGAGGTTTTCTGAGAAAAAGCTGGGCTTAACACAGAAAATGCCTGGGGGGAAAGGGGAGTCTTGATAGCTAAATAATTCAGTTTAAACATCTGACATGAGAAATGGGACTCGTCATCAGTTGAGGAAGGAGAAACGTTCACGTGAAACTTGGTGGCAGCCAACGTAAATATTTTCAAGTGTGAAGTTCACAGCAAATTCCAAGTGTAGGTTTCTTTGGAGAATTAGGAGTTCAAAAAGCCAAATAAAGCATTGGGTCTCCCAAAGTAACAGGAATTGTGCTTCTTGAACCCATTTACAGCCTCAAAGTGAGCGTTGGTGGGGCGTGGAGTGGTGCAGGCTCCCTGCACGGAGCCTCTGCAGCGGGGAGACTTGGGTTAAGGCAGTTTATTCTTTTCTAATGGGAAAATTACTTCTGGGTGGGATAAAAGCACAAATGAGAGTGGGAGGGAAAAGCAAAGGGCTGGTGTATCAGCACTGGAAGGGTCACATCTGTACCAGGCAGCTGATTTTCAGCCTGGCCTCTTGCCTTCAGCATCACCCGACGGTTCCCCATGGCACCTGCATCTCCTCTAACGGTCGGGGGACCTGCGGATGCGGCAGAGCGCAAGCTACGGCCGCCTGCGTAAGCCAGGGAGAGGGTGGCAGGGAGGCGAAAACGGTCCTAAAAGAAGCAGGAGAAGGGGAAAAAAAAAGAAATAATCAAGTTGCAGTATGAGAGTGGGCGATTGGAATTACAAGGGGATCCCACCACAGCCGTAAATGAGATGTGGTTTGTGTAACCACAGGGTGACTGGTATCAAAAAACACATATTCTTGGGTTTTCATCTTATTGCAGCTGGTTTGCAAGCCCAGCTATAATAAAGAATGGGGTTTTTTTCTTGTGCTTGAAGTCTTCCCACCACATTTTCTCCTCACATGTCCCTTTAGGGCCATGGTTTAGTGGTGGGATGGCAGGGTTAGGGTAATGGTTGGGCTTGATGATCTTAAAGGTGTTTGCCAGCCTAACCAATTCCATGATTCTATGAAATTGGGCTGCACATCACGGGGCAGTTTTCTCATCTTCTCTCTTTATCTCCATCAGGTCACGCGCAGAGTCGAAGCATGAACGACATCTCGGACACGCCGAGCACCGACCAGGTAATCGTCCCCGAAAACATCAGTGAGATGCTGTGGGAAGCATCACCAACACAACCCGCGATGGGGCAGGGGCTCTGTGGTTGGTCAGGTCCATGTGAGCTTTGCGCAGCTTCGCTCAGTCGATAACCACGTGAATTCCTAATTAGGGAAATTAATACACGTATTGATCCCTGCTAACTCATGGGGAAGCTGTCCCAGAAATAATACCTGTGCTTGCAAGTTGAATGCAGAATTAGGGACGTGTGAGGATGTCGCTGTAGCTTGAGGTCCTTAGGGTGGAGAAAAAAAATTCCTTAAAATCTTCAGGCGGGAAAGGAACGGTGCTTGGAAGAGTGCAGGGATCCCAAACGTGCCTTTGCTTGGCTGGGTAAGGGCAGCTGGCAGGGGGTAAATCCTAACCAAGCACTTGGGTCTGCAAACGTCCATACAGCTCTCGAGACAACGGTCTGTAAAGACAGAGGGAGGTTCCGTTTTCCCCTCCGTTGGCACCGTGATGGATGTGGGTTTCTTAATGCAAAGCTCACCCCAGAGTCCGCCGGGGACTTTTCCCCCTGGTTTGCTTTGCATGGAGGAGCTGGGAAGGAGGTCAGGCTGCCTGGGCAGTTCGTGGGCAGATCTCTGCTTGCCGGTGCGATGGATCAGCGGGGTTTTGTGCCGTTCTTCTGCCAGATGTCCTGTCCCCATCCTGGCATCGAGGTTATTTAGCTGGGAACTGTTGATGCATTATACGGGCTTTGCTTTTTTCCTGCCTGTGCATGATTTCAGCATAAACCTAAGGGAAAACTAAATGCAACGTGGGTTTGTAGGGGACCCTGTGGTATTACGGCTTGCTTTTCCCCGGCGATGTCCTTGCTGGGCTTACCTGGGGTGATGCAATTTAGGGGGAAGCAAAGGATGGGAATTCATGCATCGCTGGGAGCCATGGGACAGGGCTGCCACGATATCAGGGAGGCAGAAGGTTCCCAGGGCACTTTCCTAATTTAGAGGTGCAATAAAGCAAACCAACCGTCCACAAACGAACCCCAAATATCGGCCTCCAGCGGTGGGGTGCGGAGGGTTAATCCCAAAATATGCAAAGCATTTAGGTTTAATCGCCCTATTAGGCCCACTACAAAGGGACTTTTTAAGTGTTACTCAAAGCTTAGTGGTCACTGTTAACTCCTGCTCTTGCTTATTCCAAGCTGCATTGGAGAAGTTGCTTTATTATTATTATTTTTTTTCCATTTGGGTTTAAAAGATTAGAAAGGGGAGAGCTTGCTGCCCGGCTCACATGCCTCCCCTCATGCTGGCATATAGATTATAATAACACCCTGCTTGGGTTGGTATTGAACCCTTTTAGACTAATAATGAAAGAGCTGCAGGGGAGAAGAGACCGGGGGAATAAATCCATGAATGAGGTTTCCTACTTCCATTATTTGTTCCTGCTCCGAGGATGAGATTGGCGGGGGGGGGGGGGGAAACGAGCTACAAAAACTTCACATATGCACAGCACCGAGCGGTGTTCCTGCATTAGGGTCTTGGGGAGCCCAGGGCTGCAAGCAGACCTGCAAAAATGCATGGTGGCTTGCTCGCAGCTCCGTATTTTTTGACTCGGATCTCCTGCAGGGAGATTGCACGGCGTTTTCCTTGCGTAGACCCCAGCGCAGCAAAGCGCCTTTTGCAAACGGCCCAGTTGCACGTTGTCTTAGGGAACCCTGAGCGGGTGGTTTCAAGTTAATCTTGGGCTTAGCGATGGTTTTGAGTAATGAAGAAATTCAGCTTCATGAATTCTTGCTGGTTGATTCTTGGGCATGGCTCTTAAATGCCCACATCTGGGAGTCCTGGGACCATCACAGATTAAGAGGTTTGAGCCTGTGGCTTCAGCTTTTGCATTCGGGATGTGGAAAAGAGGGGGGAAAAGCCAAATTTCGGCAACCACTCTTTTCCCCGCCCTCATATTTCCAACAGCTGAAGAACAAATTCATCAAGAAGATCCCTAAGGATGCAGAGGCCTCCAACGTGCTGGTGGGAGAAGTGGAGTTTCTGGAGAAGCCCTTCGTGGCTTTCGTGCGGCTCCTCCAGGCGACGATGCTGGGAGGGGTGACAGAGGTGCCCGTCCCCACCAGGTGAGCACAATTCCTTTGAGTCCAGAGCACGCAGTGGTCTCAGGACACAGAACACCGGTGGTCTGAGGTTACCAACACGGTGCCTTTCCCTTCTCAGGTTCCTCTTTATTCTCCTTGGTCCCGCGGGAAAAGCCAAATCCTACAACGAGATCGGCAGAGCCATCGCGACGCTCATGGTGGATGATGTGAGTGGATGCAATGCCCGGCCCTCGCTGGGAACCCCCTTGCTCAGAGCCAAGGAAAAAAAGCAATTTTCATCCTATCACCCAAACCAATGAGCTTTAAAATCCCATAACAACCTGGGCCTGGTCACATTCCCAGGCTGATGCGTCTCCTCTTTTGACCCCCAGCTCTTCAGCGATGTTGCCTACAAAGCCCGGGATAGAGAAGACCTGATCGCCGGCATAGATGAGTTTCTGGATGAAGTCATTGTCCTGCCGCCCGGCGAGTGGGACCCCAACATTAGGATTGAGCCACCCAAAAAAGTGCCCTCAGCTGAGAAGAGGTAGGTGGGAGACGTGGGGCTGGTCCCAGCCCTGTGGCCATCCCCACCTCTTCTGTTTTGGAGATGCTGAAGGAGGACAGCAGCTTTGCTTGCCTTCATCCCTAGAAATCGTCTCTGCAAATTTTCCAGAAATGCTACTTTTTCAGCAGTTCTTGCCCCCAGATCAGCTCAGAACCAAACCTGCTTTACCCCCCCAGGTTGAGCAAATCCAGCTCTTGATCTTTCCAAATTCACCTCAAAACCTAAGTGCAGGCAGAGAGCTACACCATGGCCTTGGTCATGGTCCCTGCATCAGGACCGGCTTGGTAGGGCAGGCACTGCAGCTGACACCGGTGACTCTCCCCCGTAGGAAATCGGTTTTCTCACTGAACGAAGTGGGGCAGATGAACGGCGCGGCTGGGGGGGCAGGCGCCGGGGGCGGTGGAGGAGGCAGCGATGATGGGGAGATGCCTGAAGTTCACGAAATTGGGGAAGAGCTCGCGTGGACCGGCAGGTAAGCAAGCACCCCACCACCCAAAAAACTTCAGAGAGTGCCAGCACCCATCAGCATCTTCTGCTGGCTCACGCCTTCTTCTCCAGGGGCACAGAGGGGTGAAGTCCTTCTGGGAACAGGCTTTTTCACAGCATCAGATCTATTTGGGGGGAAGGCCCATGCATCTGGACCTTGGTGGTGTCTCCCCAGGTTTTGCGGTGGCCTCTATTTGGATATCAAGAGGAAGCTGCCCTGGTTCCCGAGCGACTTCTATGAAGGCTTTCATATCCAGTCCATCTCTGCCATCTTGTTCATCTACCTGGGCTGCATCACCAACGCCATCACGTTTGGGGGCTTGCTTGGGGATGCTACGGACAACTACCAGGTCGAGTCCAAGGAAGGGGGGTCACTTTGGCTCGGGGACAGCAAGCAGGGACGGGACGGGATGGGACGGGACGGGATGGGATGGGACAGGATGGGATGGGTTTCAAACCCCTTGTGCCATGCCAAGCTTTAATGCTTGGGATGGAAATTCATTGCCAAGTGGGACTGGCAGTCCCGAAATACCTGCAGGATGAAAAACCCCATCTCAACAGCAGTGCCAGGAGCAAGGGGACGTGGTCCCAACCATCCTCTATGGGTCCAAGCAGAGGTCCTTAATTCCCATCCAGAGTGTTGGTGGGGATGTAACGTGGCACAGCATCACTGTAAAGCTGGGTTTGATCCACCCCCAGGGTGTCATGGAGAGCTTCCTTGGTACGGCGATGGCAGGCTCCATGTTTTGCCTCTTCGCCGGGCAGCCGCTCATCATCCTCAGCAGCACCGGCCCCATCCTCATCTTCGAGAAGCTGCTCTTCGACTTCAGCAAGTAGGTGCTGGGCAATGCCAGGGGGAAGTGGGACCCATCCATATCAGGGTGGGAGCTGTCCTCCAGCCCACGGTGTGCTCTCATGGGGCTGCTCTCACCATGTCCCCACTTTCAGAGGCAACGGCATCGACTACATGGAGTTTCGCCTCTGGATCGGCTTGCACTCTGCCCTACAGTGCCTTATCCTGGTGGCCACCGACGCCAGCTTCATTATAAAGTACATCACCCGCTTCACAGAGGAAGGCTTCTCCACCCTCATCAGCTTCATCTTTATCTACGACGCCATCAAGAAGATGATTGGAGCTTTTAAGTATTACCCCATCAATTCGGACTTCAAGCCAGACTACGTGACCATGTACAAGTGCGAGTGCATCGCTCCCGACCCAGGTGAGTACACATCTTTTTCGGCGCCGGATGGGGAAGATGAAGGGGATGGGGGGGTCCTGCCACGGATAAATCCCACTGGATCATTAGCCAAGGACGTGGAAGGAGGCAGCTATCCAGACAGCATGGGTGGAGAGACCTTGTCCTCCTCCTCTGAACGTGATTTTGGGAAAGATGGAAGTACAGCCTTGTCCCCCATGGATGAGTGCATCGGTGCTTGCCAGGACACAGGAAACGGTGCGAGAGAACCAGGGTCTCAGCAGCCAGACCTGGATGGATAAAAAGGAAATATGGAAAAAAGAAAAAAAGGGAAAAAGAGACATTTTATATCATTAATTTCAACCTACTGCCAATGGAAACTTATTCTCCACAAAATACGCCAGAGGGGTTTTGTCCTCTCCGGTGTCCAGGACACCCTGGGATGTCCCGGTTGGGTGTGGAAACCTCCTTGTTTGGTTTTTTTTCTCCTCTTTCTTACTCCTTTTCAAAAAGGAGAGGCCATCGGGCTCTGAGCAGATGGTCTTTTGATGGCTCCCCTGGTTTTGCTCTTGGACAGACATAACCGATGATCCCCGGTCTGACTCGTGCAGCTCAGATGCTCCCGCGGCCAACTGGAAGGGAGCGGAGATCTTCGTTTTGGGCTAATGCCAGCGACTGCCTGCTCTCAGATGAGCTGAATTTATTTTAAAAGTCTAAATTTAATTTAAAAAGTCAATTTGGGGAGAATCAGCTGCAGATAGAGGAGGCAGAGGGGTGTGATGGTGAAGCTCTCCCCAGAAGTACCAAGCATCCAAGACCTGCCATGCAACGTGTTCTGCTGTTGCAAGAAGAGATCTTACTGCCACGATGGAAATCACAGTCATTGGGTTTAATTTTCTATTTTTCCTTGATTTCTCTTTGTCAACCACGCACTGAGTGACCTGATCCTGTTGGATTTTGAAAGCCCTGAGTGCAGCGGGGAGCACCCGCAGATGACGCAATCCTTTCCAAACCAAAACCCTCCCAAATTTGACTTGCGGGAAAGCGAAGCCTCATGCCTGACACAATTCCTGGGGGGTAGAAATATCCCGAACAGGACCGTGACCACCTCCACCCACCCGTGTGTGCCGGCATCTGCCCAGCAGCACCCACCACGGCGGCTTAACGCAGGAGGAAAGCAAAGCCTTTAGCCTCCAGGGAGGTCTCCCCCCTTTCCAAGCCCCATCCTGAGCAACCCCTGGGTGGCCGAGCAGCATTTGCACCCCAAAAACCTTCAGCCTCTTTGCAACCCAGCCCCACTCCTTGCCCTGCCCTTGCCTTGGCACCCAAGGCAGCGGTGTCCGCACTGGATTTTCCATTCCTCTAGATATTGAGAAATTATGTTTATTCCCCCCTACATCCTTTTTTTTTTTAATTCTTTTTTTTTAAATTAGTTCTGATTTTTGATTATTATAACTGATTTGTACCATATTTGTCTCTGCTGCACACATCAATTTGGGCTGATTTCAATCTCAAGTGAGTATCGCCTTCTAAATATTAAAACTATTTCAATATTTGATACTCTTCCCCCCGGGGGATTTGTTGTTATTTTTTTTTCCATGTATTTTACTTTTCTTTCTGCTCTGATAAAAGGGTTTCTGTCGAGCCCTTAGGGGTCCTCTCTTAAAATACCACCAGTGGTATGTCGTAGAAATCACAAATAAGGCTGGTTTCTGGAAAAATAAAAGGTTATGGAGGAGATGATGATTCTGCTCTAACCCAGCAATCGCTTCTCCTTCATTAATCCCTGGCGCCGGGGATGGAGGCGGCAGAGCAGGGCAGCTGAAATTCCTACTTGGCGCAGGAAGAGGATGGACCAGAGGGAAGAGGGGGGGGGCAGAGCAGTCCCGAACCCCGCTTTGGGGGCACCCATAAAGAACATGGGTGCTCCTGAAGCCGCGGAGCTGCGTCACCCGAAGAGCCGAGCAGAGCCGCTCTTTGCGCTGGAGGAGAAGGTGCCGGGGGCTAGAAAGGATGTTGGTGTTTTGGGGTTTTTTTTACAGTAAGACACCAAAACTCCCCTAAAATATTAAAGACAACCAAAAAAACCCCAACAATACAAAAAATTTGGGCGTGATTGGGTGCCGCCTCCCCAAAAATAACAAGCTGCTTTTTTAGTCTCCTACCCCCATGGTTTTAAGACGCGGGCGTCGGGATGCTCGACCCCGCTGCCGGCAGCTTCCCTGGGAAGCTCCTAAAAATTTTAAGAGCTGGGAAGCTCCTAAAAATTTTAAGAGCTGGGAAGCTCCTAAAAATTTTAAGAGCTGGGAAGCTCCTAAAAATTTTAAGAGCTGGGAAGCTCCTAAAAATTTTAAGAGCTGGGAAGCTCCTAAAAATTTTAAGAGCTGGGAAGCTCCTAAAAATTTTAAGAGCTGGGAAGCTCCTAAAAATTTTAAGAGCTGGGAAGCTCCTAAAAATTTTAAGAGCTGGGAAGCTCCTAAAAATTTTAAGAGCTGGGAAGCTCCTAAAAATTTTAAGAGCTGGGAAGCTCCTAAAAATTTTAAGAGCTGGGAAGCTCCTAAAAATTTTAAGAGCTGGGAAGCTCCTAAAAATTTTAAGAGCTGGGAAGCTCCTAAAAATTTTAAGAGCTGGGAAGCTCCTAAAAATTTTAAGAGCTGGGAAGCTCCTAAAAATTTTAAGAGCTGGGAAGCTCCTAAAAATTTTAAGAGCTGGGAAGCTCCTAAAAATTTTAAGAGCTGGGAAGCTCCTAAAAATTTTAAGAGCTGGGAAGCTCCTAAAAATTTTAAGAGCTGGGAAGCTCCTAAAAATTTTAAGAGCTGGGAAGCTCCTAAAAATTTTAAGAGCTGGGAAGCTCCTAAAAATTTTAAGAGCTGGGAAGCTCCTAAAAATTTTAAGAGCTGGGAAGCTCCTAAAAATTTTAAGAGCTGGGAAGCTCCTAAAAATTTTAAGAGCTGGGAAGCTCCTAAAAATTTTAAGAGCTGGGAAGCTCCTAAAAATTTTAAGAGCTGGGAAGCTCCTAAAAATTTTAAGAGCTGGGAAGCTCCTAAAAATTTTAAGAGCTGGGAAGCTCCTAAAAATTTTAAGAGCTGGGAAGCTCCTAAAAATTTTAAGAGCTGGGAAGCTCCTAAAAATTTTAAGAGCTGGGAAGCTCCTAAAAATTTTAAGAGCTGGGAAGCTCCTAAAAATTTTAAGAGCTGGGAAGCTCCTAAAAATTTTAAGAGCTGGGAAGCTCCTAAAAATTTTAAGAGCTGGGAAGCTCCTAAAAATTTTAAGAGCTGGGAAGCTCCTAAAAATTTTAAGAGCTGGGAAGCTCCTAAAAATTTTAAGAGCTGGGAAGCTCCTAAAAATTTTAAGAGCTGGGAAGCTCCTAAAAATTTTAAGAGCTGGGAAGCTCCTAAAAATTTTAAGAGCTGGGAAGCTCCTAAAAATTTTAAGAGCTGGGAAGCTCCTAAAAATTTTAAGAGCTGGGAAGCTCCTAAAAATTTTAAGAGCTGGGAAGCTCCTAAAAATTTTAAGAGCTGGGAAGCTCCTAAAAATTTTAAGAGCTGGGAAGCTCCTAAAAATTTTAAGAGCTGGGAAGCTCCTAAAAATTTTAAGAGCTGGGAAGCTCCTAAAAATTTTAAGAGCTGGGAAGCTCCTAAAAATTTTAAGAGCTGGGAAGCTCCTAAAAATTTTAAGAGCTGGGAAGCTCCTAAAAATTTTAAGAGCTGGGAAGCTCCTAAAAATTTTAAGAGCTGGGAAGCTCCTAAAAATTTTAAGAGCTGGGAAGCTCCTAAAAATTTTAAGAGCTGGGAAGCTCCTAAAAATTTTAAGAGCTGGGAAGCTCCTAAAAATTTTAAGAGCTGGGAAGCTCCTAAAAATTTTAAGAGCTGGGAAGCTCCTAAAAATTTTAAGAGCTGGGAAGCTCCTAAAAATTTTAAGAGCTGGGAAGCTCCTAAAAATTTTAAGAGCTGGGAAGCTCCTAAAAATTTTAAGAGCTGGGAAGCTCCTAAAAATTTTAAGAGCTGGGAAGCTCCTAAAAATTTTAAGAGCTGGGAAGCTCCTAAAAATTTTAAGAGCTGGGAAGCTCCTAAAAATTTTAAGAGCTGGGAAGCTCCTAAAAATTTTAAGAGCTGGGAAGCTCCTAAAAATTTTAAGAGCTGGGAAGCTCCTAAAAATTTTAAGAGCTGGGAAGCTCCTAAAAATTTTAAGAGCTGGGAAGCTCCTAAAAATTTTAAGAGCTGGGAAGCTCCTAAAAATTTTAAGAGCTGGGAAGCTCCTAAAAATTTTAAGAGCTGGGAAGCTCCTAAAAATTTTAAGAGCTGGGAAGCTCCTAAAAATTTTAAGAGCTGGGAAGCTCCTAAAAATTTTAAGAGCTGGGAAGCTCCTAAAAATTTTAAGAGCTGGGAAGCTCCTAAAAATTTTAAGAGCTGGGAAGCTCCTAAAAATTTTAAGAGCTGGGAAGCTCCTAAAAATTTTAAGAGCTGGGAAGCTCCTAAAAATTTTAAGAGCTGGGAAGCTCCTAAAAATTTTAAGAGCTGGGAAGCTCCTAAAAATTTTAAGAGCTGGGAAGCTCCTAAAAATTTTAAGAGCTGGGAAGCTCCTAAAAATTTTAAGAGCTGGGAAGCTCCTAAAAATTTTAAGAGCTGGGAAGCTCCTAAAAATTTTAAGAGCTGGGAAGCTCCTAAAAATTTTAAGAGCTGGGAAGCTCCTAAAAATTTTAAGAGCTGGGAAGCTCCTAAAAATTTTAAGAGCTGGGAAGCTCCTAAAAATTTTAAGAGCTGGGAAGCTCCTAAAAATTTTAAGAGCTGGGAAGCTCCTAAAAATTTTAAGAGCTGGGAAGCTCCTAAAAATTTTAAGAGCTGGGAAGCTCCTAAAAATTTTAAGAGCTGGGAAGCTCCTAAAAATTTTAAGAGCTGGGAAGCTCCTAAAAATTTTAAGAGCTGGGAAGCTCCTAAAAATTTTAAGAGCTGGGAAGCTCCTAAAAATTTTAAGAGCTGGGAAGCTCCTAAAAATTTTAAGAGCTGGGAAGCTCCTAAAAATTTTAAGAGCTGGGAAGCTCCTAAAAATTTTAAGAGCTGGGAAGCTCCTAAAAATTTTAAGAGCTGGGAAGCTCCTAAAAATTTTAAGAGCTGGGAAGCTCCTAAAAATTTTAAGAGCTGGGAAGCTCCTAAAAATTTTAAGAGCTGGGAAGCTCCTAAAAATTTTAAGAGCTGGGAAGCTCCTAAAAATTTTAAGAGCTGGGAAGCTCCTAAAAATTTTAAGAGCTGGGAAGCTCCTAAAAATTTTAAGAGCTGGGAAGCTCCTAAAAATTTTAAGAGCTGGGAAGCTCCTAAAAATTTTAAGAGCTGGGAAGCTCCTAAAAATTTTAAGAGCTGGGAAGCTCCTAAAAATTTTAAGAGCTGGGAAGCTCCTAAAAATTTTAAGAGCTGGGAAGCTCCTAAAAATTTTAAGAGCTGGGAAGCTCCTAAAAATTTTAAGAGCTGGGAAGCTCCTAAAAATTTTAAGAGCTGGGAAGCTCCTAAAAATTTTAAGAGCTGGGAAGCTCCTAAAAATTTTAAGAGCTGGGAAGCTCCTAAAAATTTTAAGAGCTGGGAAGCTCCTAAAAATTTTAAGAGCTGGGAAGCTCCTAAAAATTTTAAGAGCTGGGAAGCTCCTAAAAATTTTAAGAGCTGGGAAGCTCCTAAAAATTTTAAGAGCTGGGAAGCTCCTAAAAATTTTAAGAGCTGGGAAGCTCCTAAAAATTTTAAGAGCTGGGAAGCTCCTAAAAATTTTAAGAGCTGGGAAGCTCCTAAAAATTTTAAGAGCTGGGAAGCTCCTAAAAATTTTAAGAGCTGGGAAGCTCCTAAAAATTTTAAGAGCTGGGAAGCTCCTAAAAATTTTAAGAGCTGGGAAGCTCCTAAAAATACCCGCCCCCCCTCCCCGGCACTCGCCAGCCCCAGAGGGAGAAGCCGCTGAAGGAGAAGCCACATCCTCCGCCGGTGCATGGGATTAATCAGGGAGAAGTCGCTGCAGGGTTAGAAATGGGGAGGGGTTCTCCCCAAATCCTGGTCTGCCCTCGGGATGCTGATCCCCACACAGCTCTCGGAGGATGCGCTCAACCCCGTGTTTGCTTTGACGCCGGCCGGGCTCAGCCGCGCCTCTCCGGGTGAAGCCCGGCCGCTTTTAATACCAAAACCTCGATATTAGCCAAAAACCTCAATAACCAACTCCTTTCCCGCAGCCAACGCGACCTTGTTCGATGCTTCAGCTCCAGTGGCACCCAACACCACTAACGTTTCTCTGGTAAGCGGCTTTGCTCATCCCAATGGGAAATTTGGAACAGGGGAGGGCAAATCCCAGGGGCTTTTACATCTGGGGAGCCAGGGAAGCACGGGATTTGCGTTGATTTTGGGCTCGGCAGCACCAAATCCCCACTTTTTTGCCCAAATTAATAGCAGCACCGGGGTTTTCCCATGGTTATGGAGCTCCCAGCGGCAGCGGCCCAGGGAAATACCCCTTTGCTTGCATGCTGCGATTACTTAAAATACTAATTTTGCTTTTTTTTTGGCTGGGAAATACCCTTTTCCTTGCGTGCTACCATTGCTTAAAATGCTAATTTTGCTTTTTTGGGGGGGTTTCTCCCCAGTACAATGCTATTAACCTAACAGCTCTGGACTGGACTCAGCTGAGTAAGAAGGAATGTCTCAAATACGGCGGCAGCTTAGTGGGGAAATCCTGTAAATTCGTGCCCGACCTGGCCCTTATGTCCTTCATCCTCTTCTTCGGGACCTACTCCATGACCTTGACCCTGAAAAAATTCAAATTCAGCCGCTATTTCCCCACCAAGGTAAGGAAAACGCCGGGCCCGTACCCTCCTCTTTGCCAAAAGGTGGGAAAACCAGGAGCGATCGGTCTCTTTGCTGGATGCAAAGAGCTCCGAGGAAATAAATCTGTGTTTCTAGGAGGCGTTGGGAACGCTTAGGAGAATCCCCCCCGGGCTTGCAGCCGCTGGTTTGGCTCTTGCGTGGTGAATAACCCATCACTTCGCAGCGCAAAGGGGAAAATATCTGCGCTTTGTGGGTTGTGCCTGGGTTACCCGTGGGCGAGCGGAGCTGGAAAACCCCAGGGAAGGCTGCCGAAGCGGGAGCAAACCTCCCCATCCCGTTAATTAACTTCTCCATCCCGTTAATTACCCTTTCCACCCCCGTTTCCCCATCTTGCCTCCAGGTCAGGGCTTTCATTGCTGATTTTTCCAACGTCTTCTCCATCCTCCTCTTCTGTGGAGTGGATGCCTGTTTCGGACTGGACACCCCTAAGCTCCATATCCCCAGTATCATCAAGGTTCGGCCGCACTGGGGGGGCGGGGGGGAACCCTCACTTCTCCACCCTTTCCACCTCCTCACCGCTTTTCAGGGAAAATCACGGCTCCTCCAGTGTCCAGGCACCTTCTTAAAAGCAACTTGGTCTTTTCTGGGGAAATATTCTAATTCTGTGACTATTTTTTCCTTCCTTTTTTTTGTTGTTTTGCTTTCCCCCCCCCTTTCTCTCTTTTCTCGCTTCCGGCAGCTGCGTAAACTTATTAGCGATTTCTCTATCTTTATGTCCATACTAATGTTTGTGGGGCTGGATGTGCTTTTTGGACTCAACACCCCAAAGCTCCAAGTGCCTACAGATTTTAAGGTAAAAAAAAAAAAAAAAAAAAAAAAAGCCATAAAATTCCT